AGTGGATGTCTCTATCCTCGAGTTAATGTGGATGTCTCTATCCTCGAGTTAAAGTGGATGTCTCGATCCTTGAGTTGGTGTGAATGTCTTTGTTCTCGAGTTAATGCGAATGTCTCTACGCTCGAGTTAACGGGATATCTTTGTCCTCGAGTTGGTGTGAATGTCTTTGTTCTCGAGTTAATGTGAGTGTCTCTGTCCTCGAGTTGGTGTGGATGTCTTTGTTCTCGAGTTAATGTGAATGTCTCTATCCTCGAGTTAATGTGGATGTCTTTGTCCTGGAGTTTGTGTGAATGTCTCTATCCTCGAGTCAATGTGAGTGTCTTTGTCCTCGAGTTAATGGGAATGTCTCTGTCCTTCAGTAGGTGTGGATATCTTTGTCCTGGTGTGAATGTCTTTGTCCTCGAGTTAATGTGAGTGTCTTTGTCCTCGAGTCAATGCGAATGTCTTTGTCCTCGAGTCAATCTGAATGTCTTTGTCCTCGAGTTAGTGTAGATGTCTTTGTCCTCGAGTTAATGTGAGTGTCTTTGTCCTCGAGTTAATGTGAGTGTCTTTGTCCTCGAGTTAGTGTAGATGTCTTTGTCCTCCAGTCAATGTGAGTTACTTTGCCTCGAGTTAATGTGAGTATTTTTGTCCTCGAGTTAGTGTGAGTGTCTTTGTCCTCGAGTCAATGTGAGTGTCTTTGTCCTCGAGTTAATGTGAAAGGATTTGTCCTCGAGTCAATGTGAGCGTCTCTATCCTCGAGTTAGTGTGAATGTCTTTGTCCTCGAGTCAATGTGAATGTCTTTGTCCTCGAGTCAAGGTGAGTGTCTTTGTCCTCGAGTTAATGTGAGTGTCTTTGTCCTCGAGTTAATGTGAATGTCTCGATCCTCGAGTTAGTGTGGATGTCTTTATCCTCGAGTAAATGTGAGTGTCTCGATCCTCGAGTAAGTGTGGATTTCTTTATCCTCGAGTAAATGTGAGTGTATCTGTCCTCAAGTTAATGTGAATGTCTTTGTCCTCGAGTTAATGTGAGTGTCTTTGTCCTCGAGTTAATGTGAGTGTCGTTGTCCTCGAGTTAGCGTTACTGTTTCCATCCTCGAGTTCGTGTGAATGTCTTTGTCCTCGAGTTAGTGTGAATGTCTTTGTCCTCGAGTTAGCGTTACTGTTTCTATCCTCGAGTTAGTGTGAATGTCTTTGTCCTCGAGTTAGCGTTACTGTCTATCCTCGAGTTGGTGTGAATGACTTTGTCCTCGAGTTAGTGTGAGTGTCTTTGTCCTCGAGTTAATGTGAGTGTCGTTGTCCTCGAGTTAGCGTTACTGTTTCCATCCTCGAGTTCGTGTGAATGTCTTTGTCCTCGAGTTAGTGTGAATGTCTTTTTCCTCGAGTTAGTGTGAATGTCTTTGTCCTTGAGTTAGTTCGAATGTCTTTGTCCTCGAGTTAGTGTTGCTGTATCTATCCTCGAGTTAGTGTGAATGTCTTTGTTCTCGAGTTAGTGTTAATGTCTTTGTCCTCGAGTTAGTGTGAATGTCTTTGTCCTCGAGTAAGTGTGAATGTCTTTGTCCTCGAGTTAGCGTTACTGTTTCTATCCTCGAGTTAGTGTTAATGTCTTTGTCCTCGAGTTAGTGTGGATGTCTTTGTCCTCGAGTTAGCGTTACTGTTTCTATCCTCGAGTTAGTGTGAATGTCTTTGTCCTCGAGTTAGTTCGAATGTCTTTGTCCTCGAGTTAGTGTTACTGTATCTATCCTCGAGTTAGTGTGAATGTCTTTGTCCTCGAGTTAGTGTGAATGTCTTTGTCCTATTGTCTGTAATTGCCAAAAGTTGTTTAAAACGAAACGAAACTATTTGTTACACCTGCACTACATCACCATTGATAACGATAACCCAGAACTTACAGGAAGAATACAAGGATCTTGTGAAGACCTCCGTACTTCCGAATGATTAAAAACTTCTGAATTCAATGAACAGAATGAAGAAAATGAAGGAAACTATGTTGGGCTTAGCGTCCTATTAACAGCTAGTATCGTATTTAAGGACGCTGATGGCTTCAACCAAATGACTTAATGTTGAATAATGGCCCCAACCCAAATCAACAAAAAATCATTGAGCATTATTAACCCATACATGTATAAAACAGCGATCTCAACAACCCAGCCCACTGATGTGTTCGTATGATGACCGACGTTTAATGCTTAAAAAATGAGTAAATGATGATGTACTTAGTACTACTTAATGACTGTTTACCGGTCTGCGTACAGTGCTACTTACAGAAGTACAATACCGAACTCTGTTGGCGACTTTTTAAATATCATACGACGTGGGTGGGCGTCACAAACTTCATGAGGTTTAACACAATAGTTTCAATATTACGTAATAATCTGTAGCCACTTATACCAGTTCATCAAACTGAAACAATACATTAGCCAGAGCATCTCGGTCTGGGTATATTTCCATTGAGTCATGGGAAGTAAAAACCACCACATTCCCCACCAGTTACAGTTCTACTTTCCATGTAGTCAGAGTGATAACAATGAAATGTAGTAAATTCGGTGGTCTTTTCATACACCCACAATATAAACGGATGAACATATTCAGCATTTTGTCATTTTAGTGTTTAAATGAGTTTTTCGGATAAACGATATCTTCGGATAAACGAAGCTTCAGATGAATTAGAAGCGGTCCGTCTCTTCAAACAGGGACGATTCATTAATTGAGTGGTTTTACGTCCGCTTCACTACCGAGTAGATCATTTATCCAGCAGACGAGGAAAAGATAGGAAAACGAGTAGAAGGGATAAAGTATGCATTGAAGGAATAGATGGAGAGAAGGAGCCGTCTTTCCAAAACCTATATACGTCTCTGATTCAAATATCCAACGCTAGTGTGTCCTACACTGGTTCAAGTTTGAATATCAAGTTTTTAATATACAAATTTACATTGTACAGTTTTAAGCACTTTCTCTGCCGTGAGTCAAGCTTATAATGAAGCGCACAATACTTACTTAATTGTCGAATATATACAAACCGATCTCCCTATATCTTTGAATCTGTTATTTCAGCAGCTATAACTATCTCGATAACCCTATCTTATTATACCGGCCACTATAGACAAGGGGTATAACTTACACGCGAGGCATCAATGAAAGCCAAATATTTCTGGTCGTAAACGGGGAAATAGATTACAGATGTGACTACTTGTTGAGGAAGTACCTCAATACATACAGCCAGGGATTTGAAACCTGGCAAGATATAATAAAATCAAATGTACTTATAGATAGCAACGAGCTTGTAAAGCCGATAAAATTATAATAGTCATCAGATTGAATATCACAAAATAGCTTAAAGTTATTTTGGAACAATGTTTAATATCATGAAAGCTGTTTTGATATCAAAATAATGTTTAATTTTCTGTATGGATATATGTTCATATTTCAAACACTCGAAGAGTCGGATTGATATAATCACGTACTTAGATAACCTAATTTCGTGATATAATTTCAATAACTTAGGTAGTGGCGTTTTTGTAACAAGTTAAACCATTTTAGACTCTTATCATTTTTTTCTGAGTAAATTTAATTATTTTTTATTATCCGAGTTTTCTATACTTTAAATCGTGGCCGCAGAATATACAAAAAGCAAACAGTATAAATTTAAATCAGCATATCAATTTTACAAATGCGAGTGCGTGTATTAGGCCTTATAACGTCGCCAAACATTGCAACCTTTCAATTTAAGGATACCGTTTTAACTTTTAACAAACTTGTGTTTTCGGTCATTTTCTGTGATTGGTTTTAAACTAAATTCATCCGACCATTTAATCTTATTTATTTTGCAATAAGGCAAAGCAATTATTTCATCAAAATACAACAACATTACCCAACTACTTAACTTGTGTATTTGATTTAAGATGCTAATTTTAATAAACTGTACTTACAAACAAGTTTAATACGTAGTCTGTAGAGGGAGGAATAAGTTCATATTGATATTGAAACTGCACCACAACGTAAACAAAGGGATGACAGCTATTTGATACGCCACACTAGGAAGTGAACCTAAGCTTATACATGCGGTAGTGTGGGAGTCCCAACTGTACCTAAATCAATCATGTATGACGGGATCACACGACAGATTCGACGACAAAGCTTAAGGGGTCAGACATCAGCAGGTCTCAGTCACTGACCAACCAATTGTCAGTCAATCAAACAATAATACATGTCTGAGGGCGAGGTGACATAATTCCCCGTCGAGGGCCTCAATGAATCATGTTGATACACCTCTACGAGAGGGAAATTCGACTGAAATGAAGAGATCGTCCTTTTCTTCGGAATACAAAACATTTCACACCAATCTACTGTTAAGGTTTCACCACTAAATACGAATGGTACAAAATGTAAAGCTTAAAAAACACTTACCGAAATCAGGACACAAGAAAACAGAACAGGTGAGTTTCAAAACATCCAACACCGGCGGCAAACGGAAGTACATTCCAAACTGAGGCACAACCGGAAATCGTACTACTTGTTTACCGTGGTTACAGGTGCGAGCAGATAAAGGATATTTGATAATTTGGGATGATTTGAAGCGTTTAGGGAGACTAAACTGCGTGTATAATTTGCAGTTAATGATAATTTACACGGTAAGAATGATTGAGTTTTCTTGAATGATGTTGAAAATCGACATTATGTCGGTATATGATGTATATCATGTATATGACGTTACTGTTAGGGGTCCAATAAGGGGATTTTCTTTAGTAATTTCAGACAGACCAACATAATAAGCTCTTTACATAACACAAATTAACCCAACATTGTTTTTATTTTAGTCATTCGTTTCAATTATAATAAACAACATAATTGTTACATGATTCCTAAGTATTCTATCACACCGGTTACTTCGGGCATGAATGATATTTCGATTATAGAGTCTATATAACGTCCTTGCCCACATACATGTACATCTTATGCACATATTGGGACTGGGCTAACTGTCTGTGTAAGTACATTGTATATGCAAGGGTCGCGCTGTATTCTTTATGCATAAAATCATACAATAATATTAGAATATGGTCAATCCATATCTTTTTTTAAATCCATAATTAATTAATTAAGCTATCTCCCCGACGTGTCATGCATCAGGTTGTGTGTCTTATTAGCGATACATTTCAATCATGTTACTACAAATCTAAGCTAGGATAACTTAGAAATATATAATTTCCAGTTGTATTCTCTGCCGATTATCCGAGTATGATGTTGTTATGACTTATTGTAGATATTTTAACAGTGTGTGTGTACAAATGGCGTCATTTAGAGTTATCTCCCTTCAATTGCACTTCATATTACCGTTATATTCTATTAGATGATAGGATTACCTTTATTTAAAGTATGAGCTAATACAGATGTGTATAATAAAACAATCTTGTATGTATGAAATGCAATTCTTTTGTCTATAACTTGGGTACATCCGTACAATGTATCTAGTAGTCTACAATGGATTTTGTCTGTGAATGTTGGAAATACATTTTTTGTATATAAATATGAGGAAAAAGTTTTTTATCGATGTATTCTTGTACTATGGATTTTTGTCTAAAGGGGTGAGAACAGTGATCATTTGTCTGTCAGATTGTAAATGTTAGTAAAATGATAGACTGGCTACCAGCCCGTAAGTTTTTATGAAGAATTTCTCGGCTGCATTTTTACTACTAGATTATCTCCCCCTAGTTTAGAAATTATGGACGGCAATTGATGGTTTAGACACGGCAATTGATGATTAATGGACGGCAATTGGTGATTTAGAGACGGCAATTAATGATTTAGAGACGGCAATTGATGCTTAAGACAGCAATTGATGCTTTAAAGACGACAATTGGTGATTTAGGGACGACCTTCGATGACTTGTGGACGGTATCTGATGATCTGGGGACGGAAAGTGAAGGTTTATGGACAGCAATTGATGACTGACGGACGGTAACTGGTGGCTGGCTACTCCCTTAAGAATCTATACAATATCTAGAAGCTAGTATTAGGGAATATGAATTTATCAACCTACTTCTGGCATACAGTTGTAAAATCATAAGTTTTATTTTATTCCAGATTTAAAGACGAAACCCATTTTGTGATCCGCGCACCATGCGCCTCTTCAATGACGACAAGCCGAAGGAAGTCACTGCATACCCAGGCTATGATCCTGGGTACACATCGCCACGCCCAGTCGCGCGTGTTAGACCGGAAGCTGAAGAGTTCGCATGTAAAGCACGTGGCTCTCTCGAGCTTTTCGGGTCTGGTGAGCCAAAAGTCATACGTGAACCAGTGCGCGAGCCGAGGTGTCAAACCAGTGATGCATTGGATAACTACCAGCTAGGGAGGAATGGAATGGTGTCTAACCTACTGGGAGGTCAGGGGGGAGCCCCTCCTGTATCGTCTCGAGTAGAGCGTGTGAAACCAGAAGCCAGGGGAATCGCCAATGCCCATTCTGGAAGTGGCACTGCGGCACTGTTTACAAATTATGGCAATATACCAAGATCTGCACGCGCTGCACCACGAATTAAACCGGAAGCGGAGGGAGCCGCTGAAGCACACAAGGGTGGAAATATCAACAAACTGCTGCATGATCCCCGTAAGATACCACAGTCTGCGAGACCTGTTCCTCGTGTAAAGGACGAAGCCCGTACCATCGCAGAAAAGGAAGGAAGGTCTATGAATAAGAATCTGACACAGTTTGCCGTAGGACCGATCAGTGGGCGTCCGGAACCACGTGTAAAAAGGGAGGCGCAAGATACGGCAGATATGGCAAAGGGTGGGCGCATAAACGATATGTTTACACAATATGGACGCATGCCTTTGTCCGCGAAACCTGTTCCGAAAGTAAAAGGTGATGGAGAGGATAACGCGAGCATGGCAAAGGGGGGACGTATGTCTCGACTGATGCATGACGCCAGTAGCATGCCGTCAGACCCACGCCCTATCCCCCGGGCAGGCTCGTCTTCAGCCAAGAGAAACATGAAGGCTCATCGAGGGCAAATGGCGTCTATATTTGCTCAGCAAGGCAGCAGAACTGTAGCGATGACGGCAGCACGTTAGGACATGGACACATTGTGGACTAAATCCCTAATTAATTGTCTCATTCTGATCTCCCTAACAACACATCCATGTGGTCATGGTCATGAACATGCTTTCATTAATCATCATGGAGACGCTTGTATGTTTGAGATGGTGCTTTTATTTCTTACAAATGTTTGGTGTCAAGTAATTGTTTAACTTTGTCATCGCGTGCACGTACGTGATCTATATTCTGCGTTCGAACTGTTAGTTGTTAGGTTTAGCTTTGGAGAAGGAGTAGAATTAATCTCTTTACAGAATCACAGAATTGGTTGCAACTGAACAGGGTAAGACTATCACAAGAAATGACGTACGACCTATCAGACAATCCAATTACCATTATTGTCTTTGTTAATCGTTATGGACACTTTTTTTTCTAAATACCAAGCGAGATAAACAGTCATTGATATCATATTACTGAAAATACAGCGCAATATCACGATCAGTTCTGGAAAACATTCGAATTTGATTCTGTGTTTCCGTGAAAACCCTCCAAAACGTTGTGATTTGCTCCTATTGTTTTGCGTGAAAAGGTTGAAGTATTGTGGTTTGCTTTTATACGTCATTGCATGGTGACTTTCATGTCATACGTCATATATCTCATCTGGGAAAGACAAGTAAACGAAAGTTGACCCTCAAATTTTAATTTCAGTGGCAATTTATGTTCACGCTACAGTTCTGCATACTTAACCCATCACCGTGATGCAATATACACCGCGCACTTGTTTTTAAGCTCTGCAATATATGATAAATATTTTTTTAAATGCTTCTTGTCTTTGAGAATCTAAAAGTGATATATTTTGCAAATTTGTATGTATTTGCAGTATTTTACCTTGATATATTTTCTAACGGAATATTCTCCTCTTTAAATAGATATTATTCGTCTTTATAAATTGTGTATTTTTAAAATGTTTGACGAGGAAGCTTGGCGTGGCTTCGTTAAATGTAATAAGATACCGTTATTTTCCAAGCAATGGTCAAAGTGACTTCAGGACTGGAATTGATCAATTTTAATATTATTGTTTACAATGTGTTGCCTGCAGTTATACCATCCATAGGTTCAACTAGGACTGCACTACCGTATAGGCTAAACAGTAAAAACTTCGATATAACGTCCATCTTTTATATACAGAAAAACCTCGATGTAATGCCCCTCGTTTAATTTGTCAACTCACATGTTATAATCAACTTTTTTTTTCGGGTTCTCTCTTAATATTTTTTTATACACTTGTGCGCCTCCATTGATATTAGCGCAGAATTTTCATTTTATATAGGTTACATGCATTACATATTATTGCAAAAGAAGAAAACGGATCGGACGCAACATTGATGGCAGTAGGTTTGACGGCTGGCACAGGACAAAAATCCTATTTATAAAATATCAAGACTGAAGTAGTGAAGCTTTGCGCAATATGATGTATGGGAAGTCCTAAACAATCTTTCTTTTTTGTTATACCGACAATCTTCATGTTTTAATAATGGCAAATAATTTCTTACAATTTCGTTTAGGAGAAAAACAATTTTTATGTGCAAAATTTATTGTAATTGCAAAGAAAAAGCAACAGTAGGCATCTAAAGTTTGTTGTTTTGAGGTACTTTTTAAAAGGAAAATTTATGATTATATTTTCATGAAAAGTCAATATTGCGCCTCTTAGTTTGAATAGGAAATGAAAATTTGTGTGTGTTTGAAGTTATCATTAATATCCTTACAGGTTCAGTTCAAAATAAAATTACTACAATGGGGAACATATAAAGAAGTCACTTAACACAGATTGTCTCTGAATAGGGGTGGTTGCATGAGAAGGTTTGACTGAGTTGAATTTGAGGACACGTGTCTCATCAGGAAGGGTTTGTAAATGTAGGTAGCTGAAATGCATGTTTTTGTTGTAACTTTCATTTCATATTTTTCATTTAGTCAAAAGTGCAATTTCCCATTTTATATTTTTGTATTGTGAATCACGTCCTCGGCAATCGTTGTGTATATATGTATTTTTGCTTAAAGTGTTATTTACTTATCTTTGTGTTTTCTTGAATCACATGACCTGTATATAAATCATTCCATTCCTTTCTGTGATATCGTAGGCATGTGTACTCTTGTTATTTAGTTTTCCCCGTGGAGCCGGGCAGGTTGTAGTCCCATCTGTTGTGTAATTGCTCAATATATTGTTAAATACCTTGAAACACTTTAATCAGGACTCACGAAATGTGTCTAATTAGAAATAATTGATCATCTTATTTGGTGAAAAAAAATATTCACCTGATTCTTCCATTTCTTTCATCAAAGCGTTACCCACACCTTCCAGAAAACAATGGCGTCTATTAAAAATATACGCACTAGTCATCAATAGTAAGCTACCTAGATGATGGCTCCCATTATTCGTTAGTAGCTGTAGATTAAGGTAAATATTCATTTTCTAATTTCGTTAAATTCTGATTTAATTTTGGAAACTTAATTTCTATTTACATATTATAAGTTTTATATCGAACGAAATTTAATTGCAGAGAGACATTTCAAAACTTGTCTCTTAATAAAGAGTAAGGATGGATATAAGTTGTTCTCTAATGTTGTGTGTCCGTAATAAATCCCGTCCATTTCTTTTAAAACAGATAAAATTCTAAACTCATAAGATTCATGTTCAACCAGTTTTTTCCATTTTGTTTTCATCGATTATTAAGAAAAAACCGTTTGTAACAATTTGATTGTTGCACTGTTTCTCATGATCAAATGTAAAACAAAGCTCACATGTGTGGACGTTTGTGTAGTGGAGGAATAAAAACGAGAAAAATACAAAAATTTAAAATGTTTGTCTTTTTTTTCTCTCACTTTCCGGTCGTTTCATGTGTGACCCGGCCCGTATTGTTATTCAGATATCTGTCATAAATCTATGAGACTTTCCAAGTAAACGAATTCAAATAGTGACGGGACATACCATAGTCTATAAAAATTGCAGTTGTATTCCCTGCTGAACGTTTAAGCATTAAGGGTAAGTATAACGACTGTTTATCCCGGTTTCAGTACAACGTGACAGGATCGAGACTTTGCTGTGTGCTTTAAGCATGGTATTTCAGTGCGATAGCACCGAGAGGTTCCTCTTAATATTACATATTTACCCTCTACCATTAGAGTTAATCATGACGGAATCGGAGACACGAAATTAGATAATTTGATTGGTTACAGACATCAAAGACTGGGCAGTCACAAGGCGGATAGGCAGTGGAACTTCTCTGAGATCAATCTACCGTAACACCGCCGCAAAATTCAGTTTTTCTTTAAACAAAACCTTGATCACATGGAAAATCCTAGGATGAGAAGATAATGTATATCGAGAGCGAAATCCATGAATTTTGACGATGTGGATATTACAATATTATGTCGATTATAAACTTAATCAATATGTATTTTCTAGTGATTTGTGATTCCGAATGTTAATATGTTCATTCAGTCAAGATGAAAATGAAATATGTGTGCCCTTTATTTCGATAATGGGCGGAATTTCTTGTTTCCATAGACACAGTCGGCTAAAGGGAATGAACTCCGTCGGTCTTATAGAGCTAACTATTACCCCATTACGGGACTATCAATTGCGTGCAAGGGTTGACAGGACTACACATTGGCCGTAAGGACTAACAGAACTACACATTGACCATAAGGACTAACAGGACTACACATTGGCCGTAAGGACTAACAGGACTACACATTGGTCATGACGACTAACAGGACTACACATTGACCATAAGGACTAACAGGACTACACATTGACCATAAGGACTAACAGGACTACACATTGGTCATAAGGACTAACAGGACTACACATTGGTCATAAGGACTAACAGGACTACACATTGACCATAAGGACTAACAGGACTACACATTGACCATAAGGACTAACAGGACTACACATTGGTCATAAGGACTAACAGGACTACACATTGGTCATAAGGACTAACAGGACTACACATTGACCATAAGGACTAACAGGACTACACATTGGTCATAAGGACTAACAGGACTACACATTGGTCATAAGGACTAACAGGACTACACATTGACCATAAGGACTAACAGGACTACACATTGACCATAAGGACTAACAGGACTACACATTGGTCATAAGGACTAACAGGACTACACATTGGTCATAAGGACTAACAGGACTACACATTGACCATAAGGACTAACAGGACTACACATTGACCATAAGGACTAACAGGACTACACATTGGTCATAAGGACTAACAGGACTACACATTGGTCATAAGGACTAACAGGACTACACATTGACCATAAGGACTAACAGGACTACACATTGACCATAAGGACTAACAGGACTACACATTGGTCATAAGGACTAACAGGACTACACATTGGTCATAAGGACTAACAGGACTACACATTGACCATAAGGACTAACAGGACTACACATTGACCATAAGGACTAACAGGACTACACATTGGTCATAAGGACTAACAGGACTACACATTGGTCATAAGGACTAACAGGACTACACATTGGTCATAAGGACTAACAGGACTACACATTGACCATAAGGACTAACAGGACTACACATTGACCATAAGGACTAACAGGACTACACATTGGTCATAAGGACTAACAGGACTACACATTGGTCATAAGGACTAACAGAACTACACATTGGTCATAAGGACTAACAGAACTACACATTGACCATAAGGACTAACAGGACTACACATTGTTCATAAGGACTAACAGGACTACACATTGGTCATAAGGACTAACAGAACTACACATTGACCATAAGGACTAACAGGACTACACATTGGTAATAAGGACTAACAGAACTACACATTGGTCGTAAGGACTAACAGAACTACACATTGACCATAAGGACTAACAGGACTACACATTGTTCATAAGGACTAACAGGACTACACATTGGTCATAAGGACTAACAGAACTACACATTGACCATAAGGACTAACAGGACTACACATTGGTAATAAGGACTAACAGAACTACACATTGGTCGTAAGGACTAACAGAACTACACATTGACCATAAGGACTAACAGGACTACACATTGTTCATAAGGACTAACAGGACTACACATTGGTCATAAGGACTAACAGGACTACACATTGACCATAAGGACTAACAGGACTACACATTGACCATAAGGACTAACAGGACTACACATTGGTCATAAGGACTAACAGGACTACACATTGGTCATAAGGACTAACAGAACTACACATTGACCATAAGGACTAACAGGACTACACATTGGTAATAAGGACTAACAGAACTACACATTGGTCGTAAGGACTAACAGAACTACACATTGGTCATAAGGACTAACAGGACTACGCATTGGTCATGAGGACTAACAGAACTACACATTGGTTGTAAGGACTAACAGGACTACACATTGGTCATAAGGACTAACAGGACTATACATTGGTCATAAGGACAAGCAGGACTACACATTGGTCATAAGGACAAACAGGACTACACATTGGTCATACGGACTAACAAAACTACACATTGACCATAAGGACTAACTGGACTACACATTGACCATAATGATTAATAGGACTACACATTGGTCATAAGGACTAACAAAACTACACATTGACCATAAGGACTAACTGGACTACACATTGACCATAATGATTAATAGGACTACACATCGGTCATAAGGACTAACAGGACTACACATTGGTCATAAGGACTAACAGGACTACACATTGGTCATAAGGACAAACAGGACTACACATTGGTCATAAGGACTGACAGGACTACGTATTGGTCGTAAGGACTAACAGGACTACACATTGACCATAAGGACAAACAGGACTACACCTTGGTCATAAGGACTAACATGACTACACATTGGTCATGAGGACTAACAGGACTACACATTGACCATAAGGACTAACAGGACTACACATTGACCATAAGGACTAACAGGACTACACATTGGTCATGAGGACTAACAGGACTACACATTGGTCATAAGGACTTACAGAACTACACATTGGTCATAAGGACAAACAGGACTACACATTGGTCATAAGGACAAACAGGACTATACATTGGTCATAAGGACTAACAGGACTACACATTGACCATAACGATTAACAGGACCACACATTGGTCATAATGTGGTTTAGGACGTTACCGAGGTCTTATGACGGTATGGACGGTGTACGACGCAACTGGTGGTTTATTACGATACAAATGGTTACGGACATGATTGATGGTTTAGGACGAGACCGGGGGTGTAGGAAGAGACCGATGGTTTAGGACGAGACTGATGATGTAGGAAAAGGCCGATGGTTTAGAACGATATCGATGGTTTGGGACGGGACCGATTGTTTAGGACGAGATTGAAGGTTTAGGACGAGAAAGATGGTTTAGAACGAGATTGCTAGTGTAGGACGAGACTGGTAGTTTAGAACAAGACCGATGGTTTACAACGAGACTGATGGTTTAGATCAATATCGATGGTTTACAACGAGACTGATGGTTTAGATCAAGACCGATGGTTTACAACGAGACTGATGGTTTAGATCAAGACCGATGGTTTACAACGAGACTGGTGGTTTATATCAAGATCAATGGTTTACAACGAGACTGATGGTTTAGAACAAGACCGAGGTTTCAGGTTGAGACCGATAGTATAGGACAAGACTTATGGTTTAGGACAAGACCGACGGTAAAGGATGACATCTCTGGATTACGTTAGGATGTGAACGGTGGTTCAGAACGAGACCGATGTTGTAGGACGAGGCCGTTGGTTTAAGACGAGACCAATGTTATAAGATTAGGCTGGATCATTCGGCTTGATCAATGTGATCTGGTCTATGTTATATCATTAGGCTGGATCAATGTGATCTGGTCTATGTTATATCATTAGGATGGATCAATGTGATCTGGTCTATGTTATATCAATGTGATCTGGTCTATGTTATATCAATGTGATCTGATCTATGTTATATCATTAGGCTGGATCCTTGTGATCTGGTCTATTTTATATCAATGTGATCTGATCTATGTTATATCAATGTGATCTGGTCTATGTTATATCAATGTGATCTGGTCTATGTTATATCAATGTGATCTGGTCTATGTTATATCAATGTGATCTGGTCTATGTTATATCAATGTGATCTGGTCTATGTTATATCAATGTGATCTGGTCTATGTTATATCAATGTGATCTGGTCTATGTTATATCAATGTGATCTGGTCTATGTTATATCAATGTGATCTGGTCTATGTTATATCAATGTGATCTGGTCTATGTTATATCAATGTGATCTGGTCTATGTTATATCAATGTGATCTGGTCTATGTTATATCAATGTGATCTGGTCTATGTTATATCAATGTGATCTGGTCTATGTTATATCAATGTGATCTGGTCTATGTTATATCAATGTGATCTGGTCTATGTTATATCAATGTGATCTGGTCTATGTTATATCAATGTGATCTGGTCTATGTTATATCAATATGATCTGGTCTATGTTATATCAATGTGATCTGGTCTATGTTATATCAATGTGATCTGGTCTATGTTATATCCATAAAAAGTTGTCTACGTATTTAACAGGGACTTAGTAATGATAACCAATGAAACCAGTGTTTGAATTGAGTTCTATTTGTTTATTTTGAACTACATAACCCTATAAGTATAATGTCAGAGCGGTCTCTCCTTTATGACTGAAGCAGTTGTTCTGTTTGCTTATGGAAATAAAATAACGTGAATAGAGAAAACCGACCGGTATTCTCCTACAACTGA